ACAGATGAGTTACCAAAAGATAACAAGCCAACTGAACATTCTGTATTTGATGTAACATTTACAGAGAAAGACTTTTCATATCACATGTATACGTTACCACGTATAATAGTTAAACGAACCGCCTAAACGACACGTTAGTGTATCCTATATAATTTGTAAAGTTTAGTATACACTAATCCCTTATAGTGATGGCACACGACGAGACACACACTCGGCATGTAATGCTGTTTGAATACATGAAAGGAAACAACCTCTCTGTAGCCACAAATAATATCAAAGGAGTTTATGTAAATGTTCTGAACGTTCATAAGTGTCAAAGATGGTTCAGCAAATTTCATTCAGGTGACTTTAGCCTTAAAAACTATGATAATAGGGGCCGACATGTTGTAATTGATACTAATGCTCTGAAGACGCTTGTTGAGTCTAACCCAAGGCAACACACTCGTGAAATGGCCCTGAAATTGCATGTCTCCCATGAAACAATACGTAAACATCTAAGGAATATGGGAAAACTCCATAAAAAAAGGTGTTTGGGTGCCTCACGAACTCTCCAATGATCATCGTAATGCGCGTGAACCATTTTTGGAAAGAATTGTCACCGGTGATGAAAAATGGATTCTCTATGCGAATATTAGACGCTAAAAACAATTGCTCAGTCCTAGACAAAAACCACTTTCTACCCCAAAACCTGGATTCCATCCGCAGAAAGTGATGCTTTGCATTTGGTGGGACATCAAAGGAGTAATTCATTTCGAACTTCTCAGTCCACAGCGAACTATCAGTGCAGAGATCTAGAGTCAGCAACTGGAACGTTTAGATCAAGCCCTTCATCATAAACGTCCTTCACTCGTCAATGGGAAAGGTGTTCTTCTTCTCCACGACAATGCACGTCCACATGTGGCACGTTTGACACAATAAAAGATTATGGAGTTGGGTTGGTAAGTTTCCCCCACCCACCATATTCTCCAGACATGGCACCATCAGATTACCATCTTTTTCGTTCGCTGCAACACCGTCTTAATGGAAAAACGTATGCAAATGTGAAAGGTGTTAAAGAGGACATCGACATATTTTTTGCTTCAACGCCAAGTGATTTCTTTAATCAGGTCATTAACAACCGGATTTTAAAATGGAAAAGCATCATAGATAAGAATGGAGACTATTTCATTTAATAAATGTTTTGTTTTAATATATAAGATGTTCGGGTTTTTTCATCTAAAAAAGGCGACATTAATTTCTTGACGACCTAATATAACAAACACATCAATATAGTAACATGTTCACATCAACTACAGAACAGACACATCGACACATTAACATGTTCACACCAACTACAGAACAGACACATTGACACAGTAACATGTTCACACCAACTACAGAACAGACACATCGACACAGTAACATGTTCACACCAACTACAGAACAGACACATCGACACAGTAACATGTTCACACCAACTACAGAACAGACACATCGACACAGTAACATGTTCACACCAACTACAGAACAGACACATCGACACAGTAACATGTTCACACCAACTACAGAACAAACACATCGACACAGTAATATGTTCACACCAGCTACACAACACTGATCACCTCAGGTATTTCATGAGCTTTAATTTCACAACTAAGTGGGTTTCAACGCTTTACGTAATGTTTTGGACTGGGAATAACTAAAGAAGGTAATTCAGTTCGCATTTCATTCTATGTGAAAAGCTATGGGAGGATGTGTGACCAATTAAAGATCAACTTTGAGTAAAATCAAGGCCTATGAAATGGACAATGAAGGAATATCACTGATAGTGATATTACTTAACTTCAAAAAAAGGCTTATTTCAGTAAAGAGATAATGTTAGAGACTCAATAAAGCTTAAAAAATGGAACATAGACGTGAAGGATTAAATGAGCCGTTTAGTTCTTTCGAAATGCCTTAAAACAACATTTACAGTGAAGGCCAGGATATAGAGGGCTGACGAAATAGTTTAGAAATAACACTAATTGCCCAAAAATGAAAATACAGGACAATAAAGAAGATAAAAATTATAAAAAAGGTAATAAAGCCTTGCTACATCAGTTGAATCCAAGTTTCTTCACACAGAAAAATGTATATTCCAAGAGATGTAGATAACACAGTGATTCCTCAGAGCAGCTCCACATTTTACTATATTTCTTTGTTTCCTCTGCTGTTAGGCTTAGCTAAATACTACCTTGTTCCCTCTTCTGTTAGGCTAAGCTACAAACTATCTTGTTCCCTCTGCTGTTAGGCTTAGCTACATACTACCTTGTTCCCTCTTCTGTTATACCCAAAGTTTCCTTCATAAAGAAACATAAATATTCCAAGGGATTTAGACAACACAATAGTGTTTCAAACACGTGATTCCTCAGAGCAGCTCTACATCTTACTGCATGCAACCTTGTTCCTTTTTCCATTAGGCTTAACTACAAAGCTGCATACTACTGTGTTTCCCTCTTCTGTTAGGCTTAGCTGCAAAACTAGTAAGATGCTTATTTTTATTTTTCTTCTGATAAATTCGGTGTGTATTAATCACGTGTTATGTTTTCTAACTATTTATTATTAAGTACGGGATCAACAAGGTTTTCAAATAATTTACGCGCCGAAAAACCACCCTATTGAATTACTAAGATAGATTTTAAAGTGATTTTCAATCCCTACTTTGGTTGGCATTGTGATCCGTATAGCTAAATGAAGCAGTCAAAATTTGCCATCCAAAGTGATACTGGTTAGATTGACTTTAAAATCAATCTAACTAGTATCACTTCACTTGTTTGTGTACTTCTTACTGCAGCATTTGTTTTGTTTTGGATACTTTTTATAGCAATTCTATGAATAGCCAACGATTCTTACTTTCCGTTAAAATTTAATTTTTTCCCCCTATTTATGCATATATGTAGAGACTGGATGAATATAGTTTCAGTTTGTATACATTAAATAATAACGGGAGAAACACTAAAAAATACACAAAAATACCGATCTTTCGTAAATTGCTTACTCTGGTATAAATTAATTAAAAATAAAGTGGATAATAAGACACATTACTGTTCGGGAATTTAGTTTTAATATGTGTAGGTATCCTTCAAAGGAAAAAAAAAACAAAAAAAACTGATCACATGTACAAGTTTCTGATCAGAACTGGTAAAGATCCACATGCCATTTTGGTCCATTCGATTTCCATGTAGCACCAGCTCAGAGAAATGCCAAAAATATGGACAGTTTAACTTTAAATGGCTGAACACATTTTTCACTGAGCAGTTGAATTTCTGTCTAAAAACACTGTCTCTGGGGGAAAAACATATTTCTTACATATTTACTTAGTACGAGGAGGAGCCTGTAACAGATGTCAATTTTTAAGTTAGCTTTTTTTAAACATTTTACATACAAAATTATTGTCCCCAGTGGGACAGCCGTAAGTCTACAGATTTACAACGCTAAAATCCGGGGTTCGACTACCCGCACGGAACACAACAGATAGCTCAATTTCACTTTGTTTACGCTAGTTTAATAACTTCTTTAAAGCAAGTAAGTCAATAAGCTGTCACCAGAGGACGCATTTAATAACGCTAACAAAGTATTTTCATATGTGTGCAAAAACAAATTGGTGTTTATCAAACATCATATCAGTAGATATTTCATTAACAATTCTAAACACCAGGAAATCCCTTGATTCCCCTACCGATTCACTCAAACTTTAAATTGTTTATAATTTTTTGCCATAGATACAAATTATTACTTTTGAATATATGTTATTAGAAAGAAATGCACACGACATTATATCATTGTAGCTTTTCCCGGTCAGATTAAGTATTCTTAAAATTTTCCAAGAAGATATGATAAATAAATCCATCGTTATAACAGATAAAAACTAACATAGATAATAAAGTACCAAATTAAGAAGTTATCCTTGCGGCAATAGTTTTTCAATTCCTTTGTATTCTGTTAAGCAGTTAAATAGGGATAACTTAGCTTAACAATTACATTCTGTTTTCACCTATAATACATACTATAATTTGCAAAATTTCTTTCAGAGGTTGTTATTCAGCTTTTCAGAACTAACAATTTAACCAATTTCTAAGAACTGTTATAACTACGAAAGATATATCATTCAAAATACCATTTAAAATTTCTGTTTCTGGAAGTTCTTTCGTGAACGACGATTCTTGCTCTTTACGTTAGCACTTTCAAAATTCAACAAAATAACTCAAGTTGCTGTCAAAGGAATGAAAATACATACTTATCAAACTATTCTTAAAACAACATTTCCAAAATTTTACAATGATATCAATCATTTTGTTTAAATGTAACAAAAAATTACACACCTGAAACTTTATGTGAAATATATTTACAGCCCTATTTTTTCTGAAATACGAAACATGAAACTGGTATAAGAAGCTTGTTGATGTGTTTCGCTTCTAAAAATAATACAAAAAACGTACAAGGAGTGACCAACAAAAAATGCTAAATTCTTGATTTTATTAGGGAAGTCGTACGTTTTGAGTAACCACAGAAATTAGTATAATTTTCAATGAATATGAATTTTTTTTTTTTCATTGTTAAGATTTTACTTCGTAACATATTGGACAGCCGAACGCATTTCGACGACGAACCGCTGACGACACAGAGAGCATATCAACGTGGTAGCTGCCTGCGACGGAAAACTTACGAAGCCCACCCCGTTCTTTCTTCCTTCCATATCAAGAGGTCACTGAAACGTGCTTCCTATATATATAGGTTTCGGAATATTGCATTAACGACCTACATTGACGTCACCTTCGGCAAACTCCGACTAAAAACGTCACTTTCGGACGCTTGATTAGCGATCCCACAATTCCATTAAATCCTATGTCCGCCATACTGTTAGTGGCTGTACACTGGTTACATAGCAGTGAGAAGTAGCTCACGGTACAGTAATCGGAAGAGCCTGTATAAGTACGCCCCATGCAGCATTCCCCATTTGAAGTTAAGAAGAAATTATTGAAAGCGTTAGACAAGGATAACAATGTAAGCTAAATTTCTGTTGTATGGCTTTAAGCTTTATGTACTTTCTGAACCAATGTTTATAATACTACAGTACTTTCATAAATGATACGCACTCGTGAAGGTCCAAATACAATGCTGTAACGTAGCAAGTGTGGAGCCCGGAGAAAGTTGAGCTTTACCAATGCTGTACGTGTTAACTAGCAAAGTAGTACTGGCCTCAAGTTAGGCTTAGGATTCTAAACCATTTTAAAATTCCATTCTTAATGAAAAATACTTACTTTATCGGTCAGTCAGTACTAAACTATCTGGAGATATGTTTCTAATAAGGAAAACTCTTTATATTTATCAGTAAATACCATTAAAAAAAAATATTAAATGTTAGCCTCCTAGCTAAATCGCGTGTCTTGTCGATGCGGACGTCACAGCTCATGCGCGGTTGCTAGATCACTAGGAATACCGTACCTCGGCACCACCGCGGTGTTTCAAAGCCTTCATACTGAACGCAAGAGTTAAGTTAAGCCTAACTTTAAAATGGAACCAGGGAGTTCTAAACTTACAAAGTATGCGCTTAACGACAAGAACAAAAACTTTTTTCTATTGACAGTTAAAATTATCTTAACTTATAAATAAATAATTACATTGAAAATGCGTACTTAAATGCCATCACCAAGCTGTTTACAAATTACAGGTATTTGGAATGGGATGATCAAAATATTATTATAGTGCATGTAATTTAAATAGAACATAATTATTTCAGCATTGTTTCACATTAATCTGTTAGAATTTGAATTATGTAAAAAATAAAGTTTATCTAATCACTTTTCAAGTAACAAACCTTTGTTAACAGTTATTAAAATTTACTTGGACATTTGATATTTAGTGCACTGTTTTATTTTACAATTAAGATTTATTATAAAGTTGAAAAAGAAATTGGTTTTGAGACTTCATTTCACACGATTCACCATTAAGTACTAATGTTTCAATGAGAGAGAGAGAGTTAGCTGAAATTGTGATTAAATCTTTTTTTGCTACTCCTGTGGTTTTGAAAATTGTGCTATTGGCACTGGGGATTAGATTCCAAAAACATTAATTTGCATTTCACTTAGTTCTCTAAAGATAATAGGGTGAAAGACAAAAATTTAAGAACCGAAAAGGACAAACTAGGCTCCAGTTAAGACATTCTAACAAGGTGATTGACATACATAATGAGTTACCATCGGCAGTAGAGGAGGCGAGCAGATTACAGGAGTTTAAAGGAGGTGGGGGGGAATTGGTGATTTCCTCAACAGTCAAGGGTGGGTTTAAATTTTACTTAAAGGGGAGATGTGCACGGATAGTCTTGAATAATCAAATGATTGATTGTTAAAATGGTGTACCTCCCCAGTGCTCAGTTTTAACTTTTGTAAATTTTTTATTGACGATGTAAAGGAAGTGTGTTTGAAAGTACCAGAAAGGAGACAGAATACATAAGGTACACCCACATTCTATCAGACTGTAGTTTATTAACATTATTTAATGTCAGTGTTCGAAAGTTCACGTAGGGTTATCTTGCAGTGCTATAGGGTGTTTAAACAAAATGAAATAAATTTTTACCATTTCAGGATATACTGAAAGAAATAACTAGCTGAATTAAGACACTTGCATATATTCAGTGCCATTCCTTTTTCAATAAATATTAAGAAAAAAAATGTTTTTATATATTAAATAGTATGATTTGTAATTCAGGTTTACTTTCACAGTATTTGAACCAGATGCAAGGTAAGAAAAAATTGTTCTTTGTAATAAGAAAAAATCTTAGTTCGTGGAAAGAAAAGCTATTTCATGTAAGTCCATCTGAAGAGTAGAGCTGGGCAATTAACATGATTAATCAATATTATCAATTACCTATGAGTATTGATAAGTGTCATTTATATAACTGATTAATAGAAGTTACCTTGAGTCACAAAAATAATCACCTCATCAAAGTTAGTGTTTCCAGTTATTCCAACTATCGAAGTAACTTAAATATCAGTGTTATGATTTCTCATTATTATTTTCGATTAATTCAAGGCTGTTCAACTTAATCAGTTAGTGTCATGACTCACAAAAGTCATCAACTAATCAAAATTACTGTTTCTGATAATTCAAATTATCCAAGGCCTGTGAGAATAATTTATTAATGAGCTTGACGATTAATTGATTAGCAAATTCCTCCAGTCACCCAGCTCTATTGGAGAGAACTGTATGAATGAAAAGTTAACTGAGTGTGCAATAATATTTATGCTCAACATAAGCTCACACCATGTTAAAATTAAAAATATTGAAATGAGTGTGTAGGAATTTAGGCTTAATATGTGTGCTTGTGTTATGACAAAAGGACTTGATATATATATCATCTGTCTGGGTCTCCTAAGTAACCCCAGCAGACTTATGACTTGTGTGTTCTTTGATTGGTCAAGCTTAGTCATAGAAGCTAATAATCAAGGTCTGTAGAAGGTGTCAAAATGTTTGGTCTAAGATTGACCTCAACAAGGTCATAGAAGCCAATATTCAAGGTCTGTAGAAGGTGTCATAATGTTTGGTCTAAGATTGACCTCAACAAGGTCATAGAAGCCAATATTCAAGGTCTGTCGAAGGTGTCAAAATGTTTGGTCGAAGATTGACCTCAACAAGGTCATAGAAGCCAATATTCAAGGTTTGTAGAATGTGTCAAAATGTTTGGTCTAAGATTGACCTCAACAAGGTCATAGAAGCCAATACACCATCACTGTCCACTGCAATCTTAGACTATACAGTTTGACACCTTCTACAAACCTTGAATATTGGCTTCTATGACCTTGTTGAGGTCAATCTTAGACCAAACATTTTGACACCTTCTACAGACCTTGAAAGATAAAGTAGCTGCGAGTCACATACATGACTGGAAATGCTGTTTTATAGAAGTAGGAAAAACATGTAAAATACAAAGTTATCCTTAGAAATTCCAATTTAGATAAAAATGGACACACTTAAGTAGGAGAGATCAAATTCAGTTGAATGTTTTGTCACAAACTTCTTTTAAGGAAGCTTTCTCAATCTATTATTAGTGACCTTTTAACAATCAGTATTAATTTATTGAAATTATTAATTAACAAATGTACTACAGTACTAAACAAGTTTCATTAAAACAGAATTTTGTGTCTCCTTAATTCATGGAGCTTTATTTTCTACACTATTTGCTGGACTCTGAATTATTTATATATATATATTATCAGGATGAATGTCATTTAATATTATTCTTCCCCCTAGAGTGCATTCTTTGCTGTGATTGGCCAAAGGAGCATCACATGGTACGGACATTTTTCGGTGCTACTATAGCGTGTGGTCTACAAGGATATTTACACTGTAGCTTGCCGTCTATACGGATACTGTCGTCATCAGCGTTTTAACTTTCATTTATTTGTAATTGCTGTCTTTATAAGTAACACTTTTAAACTAATAAAGTATAAAATACCATTACATAACGTTTTGGGTACAAATATAATCGGAATGAAATAAATTCCAACAATCAAAACTATCACAATTATAACCTAAATTTAAGGTATTCTTTTGAAACACACAACTTATTCAATTATTATTATTATTTCTTGAACAAAAATGTGGATATATATATAAATCATTTAGCACGAAATTATGTTTTAGTGACTCATTAAAATGGTGATGATGATAGTATCTGTGTAGACCACACGCTATAGTAGCATCCAGTGTTCAATGTTGCTAAGCAACAATGATGTCAAAGTAGAACCTTGATTAGTAGAAGATGATTATTTGCAGCATAGTGAAAACTTTTATTTATTTAGGCTTAATCACAGTTTGCTCAAACATGTGAAATTAATTTGGACATATGGCATAAGATTTCAGTTACAGGTGAAGAGCTTTGCAGACAATTTTTTTGCAATGCTGATTCATATAGGGTAATTTACGAACAATGTCGGAAATATCACCATCATTCTTGGCAAATTCTGTGCTAAGTAAAACTGGTGCATACTTTATACATTTATTTATATCAAAGTTTTCAATGAAATTTTAAACCTCAAGATTTACACGTAGGCAGTGACAATGCTTATTAATCAAATTGTAGTAGAACTGAAAACAGAAGGAGGTTAGGTTGAATTATACACACACACCGACTAGTAAATTTTAGGCAACTGATTATTTGTTGCCCTCATAACCGGTCAATAATTATTCAATGCCACCAGGATGAATCTATTTTTACATCTTGTATATGTTTTCTTTAAATCCTTATCAGTAACTAATTGAATTTTCTCTCGGAGTAATGGTGAAATTTGCACACTTCGTGGAAAAGCTATTTTCCCGTTGTTCTAATTAATTACTACTATGAAATCTGGTCATGGTAGTGCATTTTTACAGCTTGTCCAGTTTTGCTAATTTTCTTTGTTTTATAAAGAATTACATTTTAATTAAGTTGGCATGCAAGTATCTCTTCTGTTTTATGAGTGATTGAAAGAAGAATATTTTAATAATTTTATAATGAAGTTTAGAAGTTGTAGCATGTTCAAGAGCTTATAATCTGGCTGAATGTTTACCACTGGACTTCTTAGTTTAATAATTGAAGATTATTTTAAGTTTTCAGTAAAATTATCTTGGTAATAAATCCATTTATGTATAGGAAATCTAATGTAAGCTGTTTTACAGGTGGTGGACATGGTTGGTGTCACTGAGGTCATATCGATTCTTGAGAAAACTCCGATTACAAAGGACGAACTAGAGGTAATCCATGTGTGGCAGAAGATCTTATCACTAAGGGCTGAAAGCTAACATACCTCCATACATATATCAAGGGATTTATCTTTTTCTTTTATAATAACTGAGTTTGAGATGTTTCAGTAGGTTGCAAGTCTTTCTTACACACTGTAATTATTGGACATTTTGCTAGTTTGAACTATCATACAAGGAAAGAAGAACCTGGTGTGGTTTCAACTGAAAAAAAGAAGGATGCTGTTTCTTTGTCTAAAAGTTTACAACTAATTATAACATTGAAGTATTCTGTCCGTCATTTTCAAATTCCATGCATAGGGGCTCAAAGTAATGAAAATATGGTTGGCATTATTAGCATCAGCAGGTCATAATTGTAAATCTTTATCGGGCAGTTTGTTCCAGCTTTAAAAATGTTTGTTGGCATCGTTTTGGTAGGAATATAAAGTAACCAGAATCTTATGTGTTGTTTTATATGGCCTTCTCCAGCCGATTTCTCTAATGTGTTATTAGTGGTAGAACAGCACAAGTAAGAATTCTTATGAGTCTGTTTTGACTTTGGTTGTTTTTCAATGCTTTTTTGAGCCAGGGAGTCCTTTACTGTATTATGTCTTTCTTTGTTACATTCTCTTGGCAGTCAGTATCTTAAGCCTGTTAAGAGGAAGTTTAGGTGGAGGAGACTCTGCTGGATTGGATTGTATTAGAACTGCTCTTTTACTTGAGAAACTCCATTCAATCTGCTATTAAATGCAGGTATATATATCGAAGATGGTGAAGTGTAGAATAGAATGACAATTAAAAGAAAGGTAGATACGAAACCTTCCCTGTCAGAGAAATCGGATGTAAGGTCACGACATCATCGGAGTTGAGTTGGTATTTTGGAAGTATTTTCTTGCTTAAAAGGAATAGACTGTTTAATTAGTTTGATTGTGATTCAAGGTTGATTGGGGAGTTTTCATGAAGGCTTATTTCAATTTCTGTTTCCAGTTTTTTGGAGAGTCAAGAATTTCAAGTTGAGTTCATCACATCTAGAACATAGCACACTTAGTAAATGTTTCTTGTTACTTTCATTGATTGAGGTCTGATTAATCATATTTAAGTTTGTCAATCACTGAATATACCAGAACTGTGAAAGTGACTACAGTGAGAAGAATAAAGTATCTTTTTCTGATTTATGGCTTTTCTACCCTCTTGATTAGCTTGTAACATTTTTTGGGTGGCTTCTTTTTTGGATGATTTTAACTTGATCCACAAGTTTGAATTTGATGCAAGTGTTACATCTTCCAACCTTCCATTATCAACTGAGGTTAGGGTAAACATGATCTTTATTGTGAAAATATTTATTGCTAGATTAGTACTGAAAACGGGCCTTCTATGGCTACTTGGTTTGCTACTTTCACAAAAATACAAACTCAATTACATTTCTCTGTAAGAGGTAAAACTACGAGCACAAAAGTTGAATTGTTCAGGAAGTATAATAAAAAATTATCATTGAGAAGCAATTTAACTACTTATTAACAAAACATGTTAAGGCTTAAGCTTCAAGAGTTTTGTAAAAAAAAAAAAAGGTAATTTTTGAAAAGCATACATCAAGTGTATATTTCTAGCAGAATAACATAAACAATTTTGAATAAAATATTTTAAAAATTCCAAGGGTTAAGACATGGTACTTTTAGTGAAAAAAAAAGTACTTTTTCTTTAGTTATAGTAGGTGTCAACAATTCTGTAGTTATAGTACATCTCAATAGTACTTTTTCTATAGTTAGTATGTCTCAACAGTAATTTTTTTATAGTTAGTATGTCTCAACAGTACTTTTTCTGTAGTTATAGCATGTCTCATTAATACTTTTTCTGTAGTTATAGTATGTCTCAACAGTACCTTTTCTGTACTAAGTATGTCTCAAAATAATTTCTGTAGTTACATTATTTCTTAAGACTTTCTGTAGCTACAGTATATATATATATATATATATATATATATATATATTT